AATTACCCAATAAATGTTGTACCACTTCACGATTGTGTCCCACTTGTTGTTGATTCTTGACCAAATATAACATTTTTATATCTTTATGTTTGAAGCCTGAAATGTGGTGAAATGTTGAAAGGTTCAAGGGGCCGAATACTTTCGCAAGGCACTGTATGTCATACTATGGGACATTCCAGGCATATGTACAGTAAGAGAACCTACACCAAAGTAATAGCAAATTCCACTGTTGATGTATAGAGTTCAAAGGGAGTAGCAGAAAGTGTATAGTCTTAAGGATAAAGATGGCTCATGTAAAAAGCAGTAAATGGAAAAACAGAAAGTGACTCCATTGTATCACTTTCTTTTGCGATTGATCATGAGGCTTCTACTCGCACAGAACCCTTCCCCAGTCAACAAGTCGGCATCTTTACACAGAATTACAAGTCTCCCGCTGCCAAATCGCTCTAATCCTGCCCCTTTTAACTGGCTTTCCTTTACCTCCGACCAGCAACAGCCTCTACATTCTGCCTCAACTGAAATCAACCCTCCATTTTTCTCAAATCGTCAATCTAGTTTTGCATGTTTTCTGAATGTGCTGCTGTAAAATTCTAGCTCTAATCTGAAGCTGCGATGATGATGACCCACTTTCTCTCTCTCTCTCTCTCTTCTCTACCCCCCTCTCCCCTGCCTCAGCTGTCGGTCGCCAAGGAGACACTTCCCTTTCTCTCATCCCTGGACCAAACCGAGCGATGCTGACAAAGGTTAATCTTGTGTCTAACGCCCGCAGACCCACCTCAGAGCTGCGGGTTTGGACGGACTTATTGAAAAGGCTCAATTATTGCTCGGAGAAAGGGTCATCGTCTACTTTCTGTGATGGAATGTATAGTTGCGTGCTTGTTTCTAATGCGTATCTCGACTGTCCATTCTAACCCTGGCTGCAATGCAAATCTATGCAAAAAGGGAAAAAAAAAGAAAAAAACCCTGCATTGTCATGTTCCTCTTTCACTCAAATGCTCGTTTGCCCGTGTTCTAACTCGCTTTTACTCGCCGTTTTAGGTTACAATGAAGCATAAAAAAGCAGCGACGCATTACGAGGCCAAAAAAACGCACACAAAAACTGCACAATTGTCAAAATGTAGCTTCAGATTGAAAAATGTATGATTATGTTATAGTAGGAATCTCACTACATATACCTACACACACATGCTCACTCTCTCTCTTTCTCTCTCCCCCTCACGGTGCTTTATCCAACGCTAATCCCAGTGTCCCAGATTCACACCACAGTCTGCTCCTCATGTTATCGTAGTACCATCAACGCACAACGCACACCTCCCCCCCGCCCTGCCCCATCATGTGGCCGAGGAGTGGCAGCACCTGGGACCAATGTGTGTGTGAACAAGTGAGCGAGTGACTCAAGTCGGGTGGGCTTGGGGTGGGTTTAAAGCCAGGTCACTTTAGATTAAATAAATTCACAGGGAGCACGGCTGTTGTGAGGGGGGTCTATTTTGGGAGCGCGCATGTAGGATGATGTAGAGGTTTCCACGGCAACAGGTCCGATCAGGAGTAGCCGTCGGGCTCAGATGCTCGCTCGCATGCGGCAGGGATGGGAATGAGGCGAGTGGGCGGACTGGGTTGTAGGCACGAGTAGTAGTGTAAGAAACAGCCTTGGTAATAATGTAAAAAAAAAAAAAAAAAACAAAGATTGTTTTTACGAGATGCTTTAAGGCAACATGTGGACTACACAAGGCAAATTCATAAACGCATTTGAATAGTTACATAACACGCCGTCTTCCATCAACACCACTCATCGTTAGAGGTTGTGTGAGGCCATTATCAAAGCGATTAACGTCAGTGAGCCGATCGGAGTTCATGCAAGACAGCCCAGGAATTTACAAGAACTACGCTGCAAAGAGGATCACTTGATTTCAGTGTATTTATCTAAACATACAGGTTTTTTTTTTACTTTTTTACTCATGCAGGCAGAAGATACTGAAGATAATATTAACGGCTTATTAAAGGAGCGGGAGGTCTGTACAGAGAAATATCAGACTGCGATCTTTTTGTACAGACCAAGCAAGCGAGGTTAATAAATATTTGATTATATGACTGTTTTCAGTTTGTGCAAATACCGATCAGTTTCAACAGCAACAACACCTGCAACCAAACTGTCAAATGGTGACATGGAGAACTTATCAGATAATCGCCCGCTGGTACGTTGTCTTTACCAATGCTTTTTAGATATTTGTTAAGTATGTTCATGTCCAACTTGGTTTTCTTAATCCTGTTTTTACCTTTCTGGTCTGTAACAAAGTTGTCAATCTCTTCTTGACTGTTAGGAGTTGTGTTTTTGTCGTTATTTGCTGTTATTACTTCCTCTGGCTCTTCCAACTCGTCCAGATAATAGAACTCACTGGAGAACGCTCCCAGTCGTCGCTCATTCTTTCTTTTGTCATGGTAACGCTCCGAGATAGGAAAATATCAGACCGCAAATCAGCCAATCAGAGCGCGTGTACGATCCAAGTCATGTAATAATACTTGTTATTAATATTTTTTTAACTTAACAGGTGGACAAAAAAAATCACGATCCACTGGCAGATCATTATACTTGAAAAAAAGTAAATTTTCCTCAAATTGTAGCTATGTTTCCCTTTTTTTTGATTATTTTTTCGTTTTGCAGTGCACAAAGTGTTTTGAAATAGGAATGGGCAGCTTCATCATCGGAGAGGATAAAGAAACTCATCTGCAACTACCACAAAAGAGTGTTATCGATGTTAAAGGGAAGGAAGCGTAGGTTCTGTTGTCATAACTGGATAATATGATTATTACATGACAATAAATGGCTTAACACAACCATTGAGTTAAAAAAAGCGTTTCCATAATCTCAAGAATATGGAAAGAAAAGGAAAAAGAAAACCCATATTCAATCATGTCTGCCTTTTATTTTTAGGCAGCAACTTTAACATAATAAAAACAAATAAGCTATTGTACAGTTTACATTAGTGCAATACTTTGACTTTATAATGCATTATAGAAACACATTCAGCAATGCATATTTAATAAACAAAATTGTAACAAGAGGTCAGGCCACGTCGCACACACTAAAAACCGTTGTGAAAAGATGAAGATGTTCGATTAGATTATTCATGTGTGAAAACCCGTCTTGCCTTTACATCTCCACTGCATATGCCCGGAGCAGAGGAGGCCAGTCCCAGGGAGCGCACATACACCATATAGACAGCAGCGAGGAAGAGGAGGAGGAGGACTGCGAGCAAAGGGGTTGAAGATGAAACGAGCGTTGGCAGAGATGAGACAAGAGCGTAGCTGCACAAGTCACCCCATGAAAAGAAGTTTATGACGGCCTCCCGCGTCTGCATCCTGCCTGTCGAGAGAGACGCTGGCCGGGCCGTGGGCGATAAACAGCCAGAGCATTGGAAACAGATGTTGGCGCGGGAGACAAAGAAAGAGAGCGAGAGACTGCAGAGGACAAATGTATGGAGGTGAAACAATATTAGGCCCTTTGAGGAGTTTTTGGAAAGCTACCGTTTTTAGGTCACGGAGCCAATGAGCGGCTTGTGCCAGAACCTGAGAGGGAACATATGTGCGGAAAGAACAGTACTGGACAGACTCGTAATAAAACTAAAAGCTGAAAAGACAAAGAAATTCATTATTGGGCTGTTGTTTTGTGCTTTGAGACGGCAAACAAGAGCACAAAGCAAGACAGTGCATGCTCAAGGTACAGAAAAAGGCATTGGGTCTTCACTGAATATTTAAAGTATTTGCCAGCCGAGCGGTTTAAAAGCTTCCATCCAAGTCCAGCTTCATTCACGCACATGAATAAGTCATACAAGTGGAGCTATATTTACGTCTCAATGCTGATATAAGGTTTTATATGAGTACTTATTGTGATAATGCCGCAAATAGGCGCCACAAACTTGGAAGTAATCCGGTGAAAGTTGACCGACTGCGGAGGTTCCATTTGTATAAGCCTTTAAAGTGATTAGCAGCGTGTGCAAATTAGAGCGACCTACACCGATGTTCAACCAACCACAGCAGCAGCAGCAGAAGAAGAAGCATCCACACAAACTACCTCCACAGCAATACCCCCGGCCTAATTACCAAGCGGTTTCGTCAACACGGCGAGTTTGTGAAACAGACTTACCCATTGTGAAGAGGAGTGTAGGTTTGTAAGCCCCAGGTCAGATGAGAATGCTCACCTCCTCAGCGCGGTGGACAAGTTTCTCTGCACACAAGAGGGGGAGGGCGGAGGGAGGGGGGCAGGAGGCACAACTGGAGTGGAAGTGGATGTCCCGTTTGGGGAGAACAGCAGACGTCATGACCACAGCTGGAAATAGATCACAAAATTAGATCTATATGTATATAAAATTCTTCATTTTCTCCCATTGGGTTTTGGAGAGTTGTTCTTTGTTGATGCAGACATTATGGACCAATAGTACTTGTGTTTTGTTTGATTCTCCCATCTGTCTTAGTGAATTGAAAGCTTAGAAAAGTCCTCAGTGAAAACTACTGTTGTGATTTAAGGCTCTACTACGATATATTGAATTGAAATATAAGAAGATAAAAGCGAATCAAGAAAAGGTTATTGGTTAAAGGTGAATTATATTTTATTGACAAGAACAAGTATAACACTGGTACAAAGAGGGCAGTGAACATCTGATAAAAACACGACTTGAAGTTAAAAGTTAAATCAGTTTTAGGATCGTTGGCAGCACGCATGAATGTTATATATCTGCATCAAACAGGAAAAGGGTTTTTATGGCTAACCAGAGCTGACACGACTCAGGGGAGCCGTGGCAGCGAGACACATCAGAGCTGCAGGCAAATTAAAGAGACACTTTTAAACATTCATTTACAGTTTGTATTTAGAGCAACCATCGGCTGATCAAAGTGTTCCTCTGCAGTAGATGACAGGTCTGCTTGGCTTTGTGTTTGGACGCGCTGCTCTCCTCTTGTAAACTTAACTTGTGGGTTCTGCTGAGAGTGTGTGGTGGTCCCCCAGGTCAGAGTTTCAGAGGGATAACAGGCCAGTACTTGGGCTGCTTTCGGTCACAGTTCCGGTCAAAGCTGAGCTGCATGGCGGCCTCCATAGCCATGATCTTGGAGCAGTCTTTCCCGTACAGTTTCTTCATCTCCGCGGTGCGTCTCTCGCCCGGCCGCTCAGTGGGAGGGGCCACAGTGCTCCTGTAGTGGTGCAGGTCCTGGTCAGCGGGCACATAGTCGTCCTGCTGCTGCTCCATCTCCTGCTGTATCCCTGCAACACAACGCACATGCATCAGTGTGACAGCAGGGGGCACTCTCACCAGTCATCTTTTATGATATCAGTAACACTCTGATGTTGAAAATAACTTCTGACTGCAACTACATGTTCAATTCATTTAAAAAATGTTTTGTATAGCCCTAAACCACTACAGTAGTTATCTCAAAGGGATATTACAAAACCGTTGATAGCCATTGGTCCATAAATGTTGATAAAGTTCATAAATGTCGTTGAATGTAGAGCGTCCTGAATCATTTAACACTGTTCCTAGACCCTCCTGCATCGCCACAGAAAATATGTGCTGGGAGAATAACATTTTATCACCTTTGTACAGCTGGGAAAGAGCATGTAGTATTATAGATGAAGTATATGTGTTATACATGTATACTTACTGAGCTCCTCTCTGTGCTTCTCTGTTTGAGCGAAATACTCCCGCAGCTCCTCACTGATCTCCATGTTACTGACATCACACTCGATGTCGCTGTCTGAGCTGCTCTCCTCTTCATCCTCCTCCTCTTCATCTTCATCTTGGCTCTGTTCCTCTTCCTCCCAGTCCCTGTACCTCTGAGTGCTGTCGTGGTGCTGGGGGTAGAAGGCTGGCCCGTAAGCCGCCTGCAGGGCTTTGTTGTAGGCTCTTCGGTGTCTCTGGTACCAGCCCATGGCCTGCTCATAGTGCTGCCAGTAGCGGATGTAGACGGGGCTGGAGAAACAAGACTTCACCCCGGACACGTGGTCCTCCTGTCACAGACAAAAACTCAAATCATAAGTCTATTTAACATGAACTCAGAACTATGAGATAACGCTTAACAAATGCATGACAGCGTTAGCATTGTTGGTGATAATGTGTGTAGCATAATATTGTGGACTTGCCATTCTGCAGAATCAGAGGAGCCGAGCTGCAGACAGAACTGAAGCTAGTTACAGCATGGTTCTGTGGACAGAGACAGAAAAAGGACTGAAAAGGTTCTTCTGGACAGTGGGCTTCTGATAGTATATAGTTTTGTTTACTATTCTCACTACAGACCCACTCACAGGGCAGAGGTAAACGTTGCTGCTCCGCAAGGGCATGCGCACGAGGAACTTTGAAAACAAATCACTCATTTCCGGGTTGACGCTTTCCCGACATGCTTTGAGCTCCGAGCGCTCGCGGACTGGTGTAGAAATGGCGCCGCTCAGTGGACACTTCAGAAACAGCAACTCAACATAAAGTGCTAATGTTGTATGACCTGGAATATACAAATAAACAGTGAAAAAACACAAAGTAGTAAATAATGTATTTTTTGTACTGTATTTCATTTCACACATATAGTTATTTATCAAAGACATTTTATCAAAGGAGAATTTATGAGTCAAATTAGAAATGTGGATATGTTTTTCAGACTGGATCAATATTCACATTGACACATTGTTTTGTTGGGTGTATTAAACGTAAAAACCAAAGAGTGGAATTATTTTATCTTACTTATCCTCTACTACACTAAACTTATCCTATTGTTATCCTATACTATAAAATGATAAACTATAAAAAGCATTCACATTCTTAGACACTTATCTATTACACTGATAGTGTTTTGGATTTTGTTATTGCTGCAATTTCGTGTATTTTTCTCAAATGTGTAGAAAATAGTGCAAGTACACTTTTCATGCATTACATTAAGCTACTTCAAACAGGAATATTTTACACCAACTATTTCTTATTCGTCACTTGAAACTTTTATTCAAAGATTCAGGTGCTCTCTGTGTCCCGCTGGGTATTTTTATATATTGTTGTATGGATACAGTACAGACCAAAAGTTTGGACACACCTTCTCATTCAAAGAGTTTTTTTTTATTTTCATGACCATCAAAATTGCAGATTCACACTGAAGGCATCAAAACTATAAAGTCACTCATGTGGAATTATGTACATACAAACAAAAGTATAAAAAAACAACTGAAATATGTCTTATTTTTTAGGTTCTTCATAGTAGGACCTTTTGCTCTGATTACTGCTTCACTCTTATAATTCTCTTGATGAGCTTCAAGAGGACCTGAAATGGTCTGAGTTCCCACAGATGCTTAGCACTTGTTGGCCCCTTCACTCTGAGGTCCAGCCCCAAAACCTACAGTCAATAGTCATGAAAAGAAACGGCACTCTTGAATGAGAAAGTGTGTCCAAACTTTTGGTCTGTATTGTATATTTATTTAAAATCAGCAATTACAGTTCTGGATAAGGGTCATGACAAGACAAATCAGACAAGAATGATAATTGTGAATTGATTTATATACTATTGCTATTTTAGCTTGTTGACAAGATTTGGTTAAGACAAAAGCACTTCAAAGAGACAGTGGCCAAGCTCAATATTTTCAGAGGTGGGGGTGATTTACAGCTAAAAACCACAGAATAAAAATGGGTCAGAAACCGGCAGGAAAGACGTGATTCACACCTTGCAATGTCAGAACGTTTTGCCATTTCCTACACAAAGCACGAGCCACCAGTCAAAAAGCAAGAACAATGGGCAGCGGAAATATATGCATTTTTCTATATTTGCAAATATGTTTCTGCAACTCAAAAGGTACCGCTCTGTCTTTCACTCATTTTGTTTTACTGCATGCATTATTGCTAAAAGTCTGCGGACGCGTTTTTTTCAGTGATTTTGGAAAAGAGACTCGGCCAAGAGGAAGATTTGACTCCTATCTGCACCAGTGACTCCATTATAGCCGTACATTGCCACATCAAAACATCGGAAAATTCCTCTGTCTTGTGTAGTTTAATGTATGTACCAGGTGGGATCAATGAATCTCACTGCGGCTATAGATTTTCACTGTTGAGTCAAAACCAAGTCCTGTTCCTTCGCCTGGTGGACCTAAGACCAGAAAACAGCGGATTATACAACTGTGAGTGCGCCGCCACCGGTCAAGTATATGAAATCCAGCTCAACGTAACCGTAGAAGGTATGTTTTTATTTGAAGATTTAATTCATGCATATGCTTATGTATTTTTGGTTTCCGTTCCCCAGTGGATGAACTTGCATGGGACGTTACTATCATCAGTCATACCAATATCTTTATACTTATCTCAATAGTTTTGTTCATTATAATTGGAGTTATTCTGGGCTGTATCTGCAAAAGAAAGTGCTGCAGGTAAGATTATTGAATCAAAACACTTTTCTGATGCATTGTAAATACATATGTGTCTTTTATAGGGCACGGCCAGAACCTGCAGTGAAGGTACAATGATTTATTTGACAATAACAATAACTAAAAAAATGCTTTCTTTTGTAATACTGGTTTTGTGTTTTATAGGAAGGAGAGGAAACATATGAAATCTTACAGCAGCGGACAAACGATTGCTATCAAAAAATTGGGGATTTTAAACGTGATCGGGTGAAATAGCAGCGCAGAAAAAAAGATAGGAGACCCCTAATGTAGAAAATGTAGAAATTGGTTAGACATACTATGTGTTTTTGTTTGATGATTTCAGACTTATTTCTTTTTGTGTTTTATTCTGGGTTTATTTAGATTTTTGTTTCACTTTCACTTGCTTTGCTTCTAAAGTATGTAACTTTAAAGCTGAGGTATGTAACTTTAAAGCTGAGGTATGTAACTTTAAAGCTGAGGTATGTAACTTTAAAGCTGAGGTATGCATTTGTATATTGTACTTGTGTATTTGTATTTGGCCTGATTTTTTTTTTATTCACTTTTTCAGTCAGAAAAGAAAAGTTATGTAAAGATACAGGCACACCCTCACTCAGCCAATCAGCTCTCAGCTCATAGCGCCAAACAGTGACCCATGTATGCAAACGATATGTTTTTTAACAAATCTGGTCCAAATAATAAACATGTTCTGATTCGTACACAATATTTTACTTTTGCAAGACTCTCCCTGTTGTCTTAGCATTCTCGCTTCTCAGCAAGAAGGTCCTGGGTTCGAATCCCGGTCGGAGCAGGGCCTTTCTGAGTGGAGTTTGCATGTTTTCCCTGTGTTTTTCCTCCGGGTGCTCCGGTTTCCCCTACCACTAAAAACATGTAAAGTAGTTATGAATGTAATGAGTGAATGGATGGAGTTGGTTGGGAATGTTTTTTTTATTTTTTTTATTAATTGGATAGGGACAATGCACATGAATGTATGAATCAGTATAAATCCAATATAAATATGCCGGATTATAGCTACCAAGCTAGTTCTCATCCGTAATCCCTAGGCAAGAAAATACATAAGAAATGACAACATACAATATAATACAGACAGCACAGGGAAAAGTGAAGGGTCTAGAGGTCACATGACTGGTTTCTTTTCAGCTATTTTTAAGTTTTAAAGCTCTTTAAGCCATCGACTAAGTTTCTTTAAGCTCTTTCAGTTATCAAACTTTCCTACACATCTACAAACTAAAAACTGTTTGCATTTCGGGACCGGGCGGACTTTGCGTGTGGTTTACGGTTTCCACAGCAACAGCAGAAGAACAGGCCCAGTCTAAAGGCTTCACATTGAGACTTCAAACACACAAAAACATCAGTAATTGGGTCGAACACTGGTGACAAAGCTGTACCGTCGCACTGGACAGAAACGAGAGGCCAAGTCAAGACATACAGAGAACACCTGTACCTGAGAACCACTCTTCTCAGAAAGTTTTAAGGCTCTCAAAAGTAACCACAGCGGTGCATTCTGGGGTCATATATAACTTCCTTTAGAGAGTTTTTTCTTTGTGGTTGAGTTTGACTTATCAGATCTGTAGATAATAAGTACTTTATATTGTTTAGACATTGCCTGAGAGCTCTGGACCTATGCATGTAATGACCATGTGGTTTTTTTCTACCGCTTATTCACTCAGGTGCATGAGTTTTGATAGTACATCTGGATGTCTCTCTGAGTTTTCGCGTAATAGGTGCAAGGTTTGTGGAGATAGAGATCATAAATGAGCAACGTGGCCCTTAGCTCCAGTGCGTCTGATAGTATAATAATAACTTCTCTACATAATGACATCCAAAAAGATTAAAATGCAGACGTTTGTAAAAGATAATTTGGACAAAGGGCTCCAAACTATTGATATATCAGTCTTACTTTTAATAATGTTTGACTTCTTTTTTTCTTAAACATATCAAGCCGGTGTAACGCCGAGATACACTGTCTTGAAGAGATGCACTGCTTCAGCTGTTTATGATGTAATGCAAACCTGCGCATGCGCGTCTCACGGCAACCGAAGCATACCAAGATGGCGGACCGTGAATTGCTTTAAAAGTTGAAATACGAACGAATTAAGACACGAATGTCACTTTTAAGTGTGTGAGTGTAGAGTTGCCACAGGACGCGTCATCAGCCTACGTCAGCAGCTGCGGACTGCTATGAAAACATTAGCTTTGTGGTTTCACAGGCGCAGTTGACTGCTTAAACTAAACTTTGCACAAAACTTTGACTCTTAAAACCCACATGTGACAAAACGGAACCATCAACATCTCGCCTCAAATTGCATTAAAAGTGACATTCGTGTCTTAATTCGTTCGTATTTCAACTTTTAAAGCAATTCACGATCCGCCATCTTGGTATGCTTCGGTTGCCGTGAGACGCGCATGCGCAGGTTTGCATTACATCATAAACAGCTGAGGCAGTGCATCTCTTCAAGGCAGTGTATCTCGGCGTTACACCTGCAAACCTGTTTATATAAATATGTTCATTTTTATCTCTGCCTCAAGTGGATTGATTGGATGATTGGCATGTCCAAGCAGCCAATGGTAAAAGCTTTCTCACAGTTGGGTGCTATAATGTTAAAGTCTTTGCACTCACAATCAAGAGTGGGTTTAGAGACGGGAGAGAGAATTTATTAAGACTAAAATAAAATAAAAAAGTAAAGGAAGGTAAACATTCGATTTTATGTGAAATTGTGCCAAAAAGTTTAAAA